TGGAAAAGACGACAGATGCAATTGTAAAGTCGTATGACTTGATCTGGTTTCCAAGGCCCGACAAACACGCTAAACTAGCGGAGGATTTCTTCCACATCTGTGGTTTTCCGAAAGTTGTTGGCTGCATAGATTGTACTTTGATACCTATTCAACGACCAGCATTAGATGAAGCAGTATATGTGTGCAGAAAAGGATTCCACGCCATCAATGTGCAAGCTGTGTGCGACGCCCAACTCCGGTAGATATCCTTGACGACCTTGACCCTTGCAATGTAACAAAACAATCTAGACTTGCTGGTTCATAGAGAATACTACACTCATTCTCGTTAGATACCATTTTTACTAAACGAGTGGACTTTCTGTGGTATCTGACCGAGCTTTCGCTCGGTCAGATAACATAGAAAGTTCACGAGTTTCGTAAAAATGGTATCTAACGAGAATGCATGTGGTATTTTATTTATTACCCACATTAAATATATATTTAAGTGTAAATACATAACAACTTTCGTTCGTTGACCGACCAAACTGAAACCGGTTGCAAAATCTGGTTGCACATGAATATTGATATATGCCCAAATTTCTCAGGAATCTGTATGTAACCAGTTCGGCACGACTTGTGATATTTTGCTTCACAGGTAAATAGATCCTTCCCTCTGATCCGCAGCAGGAGAGGCTCATCGTTTTGACGTTGAGCTACTTCAATGACATGCTGCCATCCACCCCGACTGAAGTTTGAGAGCCCTTCTGTTGTCCAGCTTCCTTTTGACTTGAATTTCTTTCATGAATACGAAGTACAAAAGATGCAGTCAGGTTGGAAGATGATGGGCTCATAGGATGGACGCCGAATTGGGCGGCAAGCTAGTTCCTAAGATTCAATTTCAGGTTGTTACAAACTGTCAAGGTTCACTGTAAAACGCTGACAATATTCTCTGTGATAGCCATGGGTTTCTTCCAGAACTGCCGGCAGGCTTGTACATGACACTTCCATTTGATTTGGCGTTTCTGGAGGTTCTGCCATCCTTCTATGCTTGATCACTCCTTCAGCTTTTCCATCTTCTCATCAGGATCTTTGGCTTTGCTCAGACGTTGTAGTGGGCCATACTTCAAGCCAGGTACATGTATGATGCACACTGGCTCTGGATCACTGGGGATACGTTTCCGATTTGGTTGAGATGTTAAAGCTGTCTTCGAGTTGTTCCCGGTTGTATAAGATGTTGGTCTCAGTCACAACAGTTCAACCTCAAAAGACACATAATCATGGTGATGACATTGTTACAAGGTGGGACATTTCCATATATATTAACTTGGGTATTCTGTAAGAGAATCTTAAGTATGTAATTGGAATATAATTTATTTCTGTGAATGCATGGTCCCTGTTCATTTCAAGCCATTCATATACAATTTGGACGATTCGCATTTGGACATTTTCTGTAAATTGGAAACTTAGGTAGCTAAGTGATGTATGAATTAAATGTTAGTAAGTGAATTCGTCTTTTACCTTCGGTGGTGCCCCCTGCAAATTCACATTAACTAGTAACTGTACTAAAACATCTGAAACTCAACTTGAAATGGCAAAATTTGTCAAAATATCAAGCCTGCGTCCAGAAATTGATTTGTATATTTGCTGAAATAAATAACATTTACATTATGATCTTTTTTTTTTGCACAGCTTTATGGTTGCCATCTTGAATATGTTACACATAGGTCCATTTCATTCAAAGTTCTGAAATCGACTCGAGCATTATACTGTGAACCTCTTATATGCATACAAAAGTGAGTGATATCAGAGTTGTCAAGAAGTATTCTATATGATTGTCCAAAAGTAGATCAATAATCATCCCACATCAAATTATGGTGTTTATATATGGTGTCCTATGGCATATAACACATCAAGGTCGGTGAATAACACACAAGATGACAAGCCAAATCCTGAGCATACATCCAAGCGTTGTTCCGATATAGCTAGGCCGAGAATGCAATATTAGGTATCCGAGTAAATTTGTTTCAAATTGGGCAAAAGATTTTCACCTGGTAACATCACATGTTAAGTAAGTACTTCAAGAGATGTACTGGAACACGTGTTTGAAGATTATAGTGGAATCAGGCACACGTACCTAGAACATATACCGGATTAAAGGTTTCTGCGAGAAAAAAATAGTTTTGTCGGGATATATGACGTTTGATTTGCCATGGGTTGGTCCATATTCACTCAATACCAATTATTGATACCTCATTAGAGAGGTATTTATATATGGATTCCAGTGGTATATCACACTTGAAGATCAGTGGGTCACTAGTGAGATGACAACCCAAAACGTAATCATACCCCTAAGTGATATACGGCAAAACCGGGCGAAAACGCGATATAAGGTACCATACTTTGAAAGGCTGTAACAACAAGTTCGTCCCAACTTTTTTCTTGGGATGATCCGTTTAGTATGTTTATTGGCTTTACAATTTTTTAGTGGGGTTTGGATGTGTGTGTGGGGGTGGGGGGGTGGGGGGTGTGGGGGGGGGGGGGGGGGGGGTGCTCGTGGGTCATACCTAGCCCACGGCCTAAATTCAAGCGCCATGTTGTTAGTACGAAGGACACCTTTATGAAAATTTGAAAAGTCACATTAGCGCCGCGCTTTGGACTAACAGTCGGTCACTCGCACTGCCGGTGTCCCGTCTGTGCAATCAATATAGTTCGGTTTCCTTGATCTATCAGCAGAATTTATATCATCGTACCATATTGGAAGAGGGAAATCAGAGTGTTCGCCAAAGACATTCATGTTAACTGTACCACCCTATACTGAAGACGTGAAAATCAACAAACTCAAGTCTGCTTGCATGTCAGTGACAGCTTCGAACGATCGAAGGGCAAGGTCACCACCGGAATAAGAAAAGACAACCGTGATCTAGGCCTACTCAGCGTTTTACGCTAGAGATAGGGAATGTTATTGTTCACATTTTGGATGTTTGGGGCCACAAAATCAGAAGTCAGGCACACTTCCACGGAGCTTTCGAATGATTTTTATCAGAACTGTTCACTTTTGGTGATATGGCAGTGCAGTCGTGTACGTTCATTCATGAACAACATCTCCCGAAACAGCGCCACAAAATACGCTTCGAAGGGGACACTGATGGCAAAACCAGATCATCCCAAGTAAGGCTAAATATCTGTCCAGATAGTTTAAACATACTTCATTTCACAACGCTTATCCCTTTACCTTAAATCAAATTGAAAGTTGCAAAAGTGGTCGGGTGCGTCACGCTCATGGGGGCCCTCGCTCTATTGATCGGTAGTCGTACATTGTAAATGGATATCGCTCGATTATATAATGTTTGTAGAAGCTGTATGCATAACTTATATAGAATGCAAACTGAATTTGATGCCTGTGACTATTTTGTTTGGTTTAATAAAGTGTTTGTGAATATCTCTCGGTCTCATTAATTTCTTCAGTTCTACCTTGTGGTTGCGAAAGGAATGACGTCTCGCGATTTTTATGAATGAAAAAAGTAGTCCCGGTGTGACAGAGCTCACGGTTATCCAATCAAAACGAATAAAACAAGGTCAACCTTGTACGACACACGTGTGACGTACGGATTTAGTATCTTACCACCTGTATCTTCACCACATGGGTAATAATTTCAGATAATAAACGTCATTGTGTCATAATTGATTTGTCAATAGCTCATGTAGGCTTATTTATGTCCAAATGTTTCATAATTATTCGGCTTATTTAAATATGATTTTCTTAACGAATGTGGACTTGTGGATTTAGTTATTTATGTATGTATTTATTTATTTTTGCAGATTCACAAACATTATTGTCCAATGGCCAGGATCAACCCATGATTCACATGTTTTCAACAACTGCAATTTGAAAAGGCATCTGGAGGAAGGGAAATATGACATCTGGCTTCTTGGTGATTCAGGGTAGGTACATGTATGTCCAAGTTATTTATGTCATGTTTGTCTTTTAATGTATACATAAATATATATCGGGAACATTAAATTTATCGAAACATTCTACATTAGGTATGCCTGTAGACCCTACCTCCTGACACCTGTCAACAACCCTGCAAATGAAAAAGAGGAGAAATACAACCGCTGTCATATTGGAACAAGGAACTCAGTTGAGAGGGCAACTCAACAAATAAATAATTCATGGAAGCTTTATGTTTTAATTCAAGGTTTTGCTGAAGTAACTGGACTAATGAGCATGTGTATTGCTGATTGTATGTCATTCTGATTTCAAAATACCTGTGCTGTTGGCATGTGTTTATCATGATAAAACATTTATACTAACAGGTAATATAAAATATGCGTTTTACCTGATGATAAGTATTACTTGCTAAACTATAATTATATATGAAATGATGTATAAATATTACACAATGATAACTCATAAAAGCACTTGATGTGGATCTAATTATTACAGGAAAACTTAGTATAAATGTTATATCATGATATATTCATCACTATATTTGTAAACTCAACTATATAAGTATGTTACATCTGCTTAGGTGTCTACACAAATCAACAGGATGCCTGTTATTCAGCCCACAGAAGAGCATCAAAATTAGTACTGCCTGCTTTCAACTTCATAATTTGGCAATATTACTGAAGTTGCCTGAGCCTGATGTTCTTTGTGAGACTCCTGGACCAGAGGTGGACAGCAGTCCTGCTGATAACCACAACTTGGATGGATGTAGAGTCAGGGGAAAACTTATCAACACTAGGTTTTAAATGACGTAGCATACATATCCAATTGTGATACTTTTACTAAGAGGCCACATAATGTCAATAATCCCACACTAAAAGTTGTAAGGTAGCACTTTTTCAAAATCCAGCACCACTTTATGGCCACACTTGTGAATATTGCATATAATTGTTTTTTGGAGTTTATGAAAATGTATTGTTTTTTGTACATATGCTATATCCAAATAATAACACAAACAACTAAACATCTTTGTGATCACAAGTAAACAGTAACATGAGTTTACTGCCTTTAATCAAATTTGATTATGGGAGACAATGAGTTTCCAAATGATTTTTTTATATTCAAATTTTTCTCTTTCCAGGTCCAGGCTCTGTCTTTGGATGTCACGGATGTCCCGCTGCACAGACAGAATTTCCTCAAGGAGTGACATCTTTCTCTCCTCCTGGGCTTGTAAGGACTTAATCTCTCCCAGAATGTCTTCTGAAAATATTTAGACAATTTTGGGTTATATCAATGATATTAGGATGTTACTTAATATTATTTTATTAAACATTTATGATCATTATATGTAATACTGAAACCACTACATTATGAACAAATAAATGCCATACCTTCATTAGATGTTTTCTTGATCAGAGGCCTCCCTTTAGGTTTTCCTTGAAAACAAATTTGTATTGTTATTAACTAGAATTCATGATATAGTGACTTGATTTTTTAATGTTAATACAAATTTACTATTGAATAAAGTTGCATAATGTTTAATACATACTGGTTCTGATAGCAGGAGTCATCATTATATCCTCCAGACTGGCTTGGTTCTTTTCTTAAATGTATATAATATTTTTAAGATAATTGTAACTGCTAACATCTCACATGGGGTACCGGTATTCAGTTTGTTCACATGTATTTTCAGCATACACTTGGATTTTTAGAATAAAATAGCACCAAGTGTATGAATTTATTCACCATGTCAATGTAAATTATAACATTTGATTATCTTTATTATTAAAAATTATTTCATACCTGTGATAGTTACACAATCATTTTCTCCTGTGCTTGTAGCTGTCAGTGGAGTGTAAAACACCTCCTGTGGAGAATCTGAAATATATAAGTTGTGAGTGCACTAAATAGTTGTATTGAAGATATTGGTTAATTGTGCCTGACCATTCAGTGCATCGAGAAATCTCATATATTTCTTTTGTATACATTTGTTCATTTATGATACATTTAATATGTAAGGGGAATTTGCCAATATGCAAGAGGTATTAGTTTTTGAATATGGCAATATTTAGTTTATTTACATCTTCAAAACAAAGAAATAAATGAGTTTGAAGTAGTATTTACCAAACATTAATGCCTGTGTAGCTTCTTCAGCTTCATCAGCTACTGAAGGAATCATGCTGAACACTTAAATTAATAAAACATATTTTTCATTTATCATAACAAATACTGTCAATGTTTCATAAATATACCATCAAATACCCATAAAGCTTGATTAAGTTACATACGTTATTGACTTTAATACACATGTACATGAATCCCAAGAAGGAAGTGTCATCATTACCAGGTGTTTCCATGCCTCCTGAGATCCCCCCCCCCCCCCCCTTTTACGGCAAGCATGGGTTGGTGAAGACCTGTTCCTCCCCGGATCTTCACGGGTCCAGCAACAAATGTTTCGCTAAAATACTAGGGACCGCGGGGACACCTGGTACCTGCATCCGGGGTAGAATAGGTCTTCAGCAAACTATTCTTGCCGTAAAAGGCGACTATGCTTTTCGTAGGAGGTAAAAATCGTGAATGTTTGCAACACAAAAAGTGTAACAAATGGCAAGTTAAAACTTCTTTACACATACTGACGACCATGGTCGCTTTTGGCATCACCTTCCTTTGGCGATCAAACGCCAAAAGTAGCTAACGCGGTTTGGGTATTGATTTTATCCTAAGAACGTGGGTGTTAACAGGTGGTATATTCAGCAAGCACCATGCTGTGAAGAGTTCATACAGAGTTTATTTGAGTTTATTTGACCTTGACCATTGAAAATGAGTAAATATTTCTAAAGCAGGCGTTTTTGCATTGCTATCGCGTTTTGCTTATATACCTTAAAATTGTAGGACAATGCCTTGTAAAATCATTACCGTGACGATACGGGGTAGAATAGGTCAATAGCAACTTATGCTTGTGGTAAGAGGCGACAAACGGGATCGGGTGGTCAGGCTCCCTGACTTGGTTGATTCATGTCATCGATCCCAATTGCGTGGATCGATGCTCATGATATCACTGGACTGTCTTGTCCAGACTCGATAATTTTCAGGCCGCCGTCATATAGCTGGAATATTGCTGAGTGCGGCGTTAAACAACAAACCAACCAACCAAACCCTCCCTCAATCAAACGCCAACAGTTGGGTGTTGATTGTGTCCCATCAACGTACGTGTCAACAGGTGGTATATCCAATTAGCACCATGCTGTTAAGTTCATTCAGAGTTTAATTGGCCTTGAAAATAAGTAAATATTTCTCAAGCAGGCGTTTTTACGTTGCTATCGCGTTCTGCTTCTACACAATAATATAGCAGAACATGGCCTTTTAAAATTAAAAAAAGAAGTGAAGATCCGGTGAAGAATAGAATATGTCTTCGGAAACCCTTTCTTGTCGTAAAGAGGAGATTAACGGGATCGGGTTTTCAGGCTCGCTGACTTGGTTGATGCATGTCATTGTACCTAATTGCGTAGCTCGATGCTCATGATATCAATCATTGGATTGTCTCGTCTAGACTCGATTATTTACAGACCGCCGTCATATAAGAGAATATTGTTCAGCGCGAGCTAAAACAACAAACAGACAAACCAACTTTAAAATTATTTTGGTCAGCTGTCCCTGTTTTAAGAATGACCAAGGTTTTTTTGCGTTTTATAATTAGATGTTACTGGTATTTGATTCACGTACTACATTTCCCGTGCGTTTAGCAATGGAAAACCAGAATATTTATTATTTCTGTAACAATTGTGTTTGTCATGCGATTCAATCAAGATGCATCCATACATAAAACATACGCAAAAACAATATACAGTAAACTACAGTTATAACGAACTCAAAGGGACTACTAATTTTAGTTCCGTTATAACCGCAGTTCGTTATAAGCATATATACAGCATATGATACCAATTTTATGAAACTTATGAATAGGTCTAAAACAATTCATGCATGTGCACATGCAGTAGGACTACGTAGTGATAACAGTGAAGACGTAGTAGACGTAGTGTAGTAGGAATAGCAGTAGAAATACGTAGTGGTAACAGTGATGACGTAGTAGACGTGGTTTAGTAGCAATAGCAGTAGAAATACGTAGTGGTAACAGTGATGACGTAGTAGACGTAATGTAGTAGCAATAGCAGTAGAAATACGTAGTGGTAACAGTGATGACGTAGTAGACGTAGTGTAGTAGTAATAGCAGTAGAAATACGTAGTGGTAACAGTGAAGACGTAGTAGACGTAATGTAGTAGTAATAGCAGTAGAAATACGTAGTGGTAACAGTGATGACGTAGTAGACGCAGTGTAGTAGCAATAGCAGTAGAAATACGTAGTGGTAACAATGATGACGTAGTAGACGCAGTGTAGTAGCAATAGCAATAGAAATACGTAGTGGTAACAGTGAAGACGTAGTAGACGTAGAGAAGTAGCAATAGCAGTAGAAATACGTAGTGGTAACAGTGATGACGTAGTAGAAGTGGTTTAGTAGCAATAGCAGTAGAAATACGTAGTGGTAACAGTGAAGACGTAGTAGACGTGGTTTAGTAGCAATAGCAGTAGAAATACGTAGTGGTAACAGTGAAGACGTAGTAGAGACAGTGTAGTAGCAATAGCAGTAGAAATACGTAGTAGTAACAGTGAAGACGTAGTAGACGCAGTGTAGTAGCAATAGCAATAGAAATACGTAGTGGTAACAGTGAAGACGTAGTAGAGACAGTGTAGTAGCAATAGCAGTAGAAATACGTAGTAGTAACAGTGAAGACGTAGTAGAGACAGTGTAGTAGCAATAGCAGTAGAAATACGTAGTGGTAACAGTGAAGACGTAGTAGAGACAGTGTAGTAGCAATAGCAGTAGAAATACGTAGTGGTAACAGTGATGACGTAGTAGAGACAGTGTAGTAGCAATATCAGTAGAAATACGTAGTGGTAACAGTGATGACGTAGTAGAGACAGAGTAGTAGCAATAGCAGTAGAAATACGTCGTGATAACTGTTAGCAGCAGGTACAAGTGTCACAGGGAAATATAATTTCATGGAGGAATGTGGATTACTTTGTTCAAGTCTGTGAAATAAATGATGAAGTAACAGATTTTATGACAACTTGGATCAGATTTGCCCAAGGCAATGAGAGTGAATTGTTTGAAGTATCATAAAATATCCGTACCTGAGTATTTTTCCACATCCACAGACACGCAATCAGTGCTGGCGTACATGGCATAGAAATAGATATTAACTGGTCAGTTTGTCGTTCATGTTTTCACAATTTGCATGCCGAATACCTTTTCTTCCAGTAGCGATTGGCATATCTCTCTAGAAGCAATCGTTCGATGGGAAAGAACTCGATCCCGTTGGTCGCCCTTTACGACGAGCCTTTTACGACAAGCACAGACCCGTGAGGATTCCGGGGTAGAATAGGTCTTCAGCAACCCACGCTTGCCGTAGAAGGCGACTATGCTTGCCGTAAAAGGCGACAAACGGGATCGGGTGGTCAGGCTCGCTGACTTGGTTGATGCATGTCATCCATCCAAAATGCGTGGATTGATGCTCATGATATCAATCACTGGATTGTCTGGTCCAGACTCGATTATTTACAGACCGCCGTCATATAGCTGGAATATTGCTGAGTGCGGCGTTAAACAACAAACCAACCAACCAACCAACTAACTCAAACTGTGAAAGGTAAACACCGCTTTGGGATTTGGGCGGGCTGGTCGGGATGTTTTGTGGGAGATATCCTACTAAATAAACATAGCGGTCATAAAATGTTCAAGTCCCATAGAACCATGGATCGATGCTCATGATAGTAATCACTTGATTGTGTAGTCCAGACTCGATTATTTACAGACCGCCGTCATATAGCTGGAATATTGCTGAGTGCGGCGTTAAACAACAAACAAACAGACAAACAAATGACAAGCATAGTCGCCTTTTACGGCAAGTATCCCTGTATCTGACTAATGTATATAAGTATATACAAGCCTACAATTCTATTGAGAAAAATGTAATTGTCCCAATGCGTCCAATTAGCCGGAAAGAATCGTATCTTTCTCACTGCCACGTTGGCGAATTACATGCACTAGATCTTTATCCCGTACATTGTTGTGATGAGACGATTAGATCAATGATACCAGCGGCGGGCTCTGTACAGCAATATAAAGAATGCGTTTCTTATTCGGGTCTGTGATCAGATTGTCCCTGTACGATACGTCATGTAAACCTATCCTTTTATGGATAGATGTGAAAGTGAATCATGTTGGTCGGGGTTACATGAAAATATTCCTTTATCTCTTGTTTCACGTCATATTATGTTTGTTTGTTGGTTGGTTAACGCCACACTCCGCAATATTCCAGCTATATGACGGCGGTCTGTAAGTAATCGAGTCTGTACCATACAACCGAGTGATTGACATCATGAGCATCGATCCACGCAATTTGGATGGATGACATGCATCAACGAGGTCAGCGAGCCTCACCACCCGATCCCGGTAGTCGCCTTTTACGACAAGCATAGTCACCTTTTACGGCAAGCATGGATTGCTGAAGACCTATTCTACCCTGGACTCTTCACGGGTCCAGAAACGTAAAGGGTTGAGCACATTTTTACCAACGAGTTGGGAATGCCAGAAACGTTTGGCATTCCCAACTCGTTGGTGATAATGTGCTCCACCCTCTCATGAGAGATGCCCACAACACTGGCAATATATCGAGTGGTCAATCATTGATCAGCCATCACCATGTCATGCACCCGGGTAATGTTTTCCGGAATGGTTGCTGTTGAAGGCCTTCCTGGACGCGGGTCATCGTCAAGGCTTTCTCTGCCACGCTTGAATTCCGCAGCCCACTTCTTTACAGTGGAAAAGGAAGGGGCATCATTCCCTAAAGCGGAGACCATGTCAGCATGTATCTGTGTTGGAGTTAGCCTTTTCAGTTGCAGGTACTTGATGACTGCCTTATAGCCAGTTTTGTCCATTTCTGGTGATTCAATGGGTAGGTTCACAAGATGGTCTGGTACAAAGACAATAATAACACTACAGTTGCAGTTCTTATGTCTATGATTCATTAAATGATTGTACTTGTTGGTGGGAAAACTTTGTTTCAATCCGATTGAGATATCCCACATAGGCTTAGAACTTTTCAGCCAGCCCTCGTACAATTGTTAAGATATGACAATAGCTCCGTCAAAATATTATGTTCACTATAATGAGATATCCAGTGTTATGTCCACTGCAATTAAATAAATAGTGTTATTTTCACTGCGATAACTTTTTTCTACTTCAGAAAACTCAGTCTTTCACACTGAAGTATATCATTTAAAAGTTTTTGTCAGTAATTTTCCGATC